GAACCAGGAACTGAGCAGGAACCAGGAACTGAACATGAACCAGGAACTGAGCAGGAACCAGGAACTGAGCAGGAACCAGGAACTGAACATGAATCAGGAACTGAACATGAATCAGGAACTGAACATGAACCAGGAACTCAACATGAAGAGTGTATTCTCATTATGAGTTCGTATGAAATCTTATGAAAAGTTATGCACCGTAATTTCGTCTGTTTTGGACGTTTTTTTCGTCGTATGCGCATTTTACGCACCATTCACGAATATAGAATATAAATTACAATTAGCCCTGACCCTAAGATATAAAACAGCAAGCAACGCAGTTAGAGACATGAATGAGTGATGATTGCACAGTTTTTGCCAGTTTTACGTCCGTCCGCGGATCTGGTTTTTTTTGCCATCATGCACACTGATCGGGTTTTTTGAGGAAAAACGTACAAAACGTACGAAATAGTGTACATAACTTTTCGTACGATTTCATACGAACTCATAATGAGAATATGTTGACATGAATCAGGAACTCAACATGAATCAGGAACTCAACATGAACCAGGAACTCAACAGGAACCAGGAACTGAACAGGAACCAGGAACTCAACATGAACCAGGAACTCAACAGGAACCAGGAACTCAACATGAACCAGGAACTCAACAGGAACCAGGAACTCAACAGGAACCAGGAACTCAACATGAACCAGGAACTGAGCAAGAACCAGGAACTCAACAGGAACCAGGAACTCAACATGAACCAGGAACTGAGCAGGAACCAGGAACTCAACAGGAACCAGGAATTCAACATGAACCAGGAACTGAACAGGAACCAGGAACTCATAAAGAGCCGGGAACAGGAACTTGATGATGGATGACACGTAGCAAATCTAGGTTCTCCTAATCTGTGTGGGACTGATGAAGAGTCAGAACTGATCTAGAATCTAGAACTTGATGAAGAAGCGTCCCCGTCTCACCGATGTGGTACAGCCCGATCCAGTCGGTGGCGTCCACCTCCTCCTTGATGTCCCAGGAAATGACCAGGTTCTGGCCGCGGTTCAGCGTGTACTCCAGGGTGGACGCTGTGAGCGAGGACCGGCTCTGGGAGCTCACCAGGTCCGTGTCGCTGTTGGCCCGCATCAGCCCGATAGGTCCGCCCACCACCGACACGGCATCCACGGCCGCCCCGCCCCTCTCCGCCAGCGTCCGCAGGTTGTCTGGGCTCAAGGTGTGGCGCAGGTGGGGGCTGCGTCTGCGGGGCGCAGACAGGTGTTCGCGGGCCCCCACCGCTAGGTTGGGGGGGTTATGGGAACGGGTTCTGGCGGGCAGGACCGCTGTGGCAAGGGAAGGACGCATGGTGGACAACGAGAGACAAAGAGCTTCTCAGAATGAAGATGATGATGGTCGCTGAGCTCTGGGGAGGATGAAGAACATGTAGAGGTCTTCAGATCCGGTTCCCTGCTTCCAGAGGGCCGAGGAACCTGAGAGGAACAGAGGAGAACACAGAACATGAGCTGGACCGTAGAACCGGACCAGGAAGAGAGGACTCCAGGAGATCCCTGATCAGGACCGACCTCCAACACACCTGGACCAGAGAAACGGGTCAGAACCGGGCCGCGGCGAACTCCATGACCAGATGATTGACTGAGATCTAAAATAATGAGCTCATCAAACTGTCCAGGTGTTGGAGCACAAACATCTGGAACCTGAAGACCACAGAAGACCCAGCCGACCCAGACTGGCCCAGAC